TTGAAAAGTTCAGCTGAAGACACAAAGTCCTTAATAATGATGCTACCCTCCCTGATTTCTCAGAACAAATGTAAATATGTTCATATATCACTTGTTTCTGGAGAGGATGTTGCAGCCTGATAGTCCCAGCCAAGACAACTGCTGACTAAGGAGTATGGCTTGAATTCAACTTCATAAAACAGCCATTCTATATTACTGTCCTGACTACAGTTTAGCTTCAGAATTTGCTGATATAACACTAAGAAGTGGAGTACCAAACAAAATTGATCCCCAAGAGAAAAAAGTAAAATAAAATGAATAAAGTCATATGGAAGGGGAAAGAGAGACCAGCTCAGTTTTATTGTTTGTATAAAAGAGAGGATTTGAATTTAAAAAATAAATAAAGAAATGGGGCAACCTTGGCTTTGTGACTCATGCTACTGCCATCACAATTTGCTTCTGAGTTTGGCCAAATTGCTTGCTCATTTCACTATCTTCACAAACTTGCTAGAGAACCTGAAGGAAAAAATTCTGAGCCTCATCACCACTGTGCCCCTAGTGCTATCAGAATGCTTGGCACCTGGATTGTGTGCTGCAAATACGTGTAGGCTGAATGTGCACATTGTTGGACTATTTCATTCCTGGAATTCAGAACAATCTAGAACAACTGGGAAAAACTTAAAATTGCTATCATTTTTCACAGTTTAAATGTAAATTATCTCAGTTATCTTCCAGCATTCCTACATGGTTGGTGTTATATGTTTCATGGGTGAAAATACTGAGTTCAGAGACACTATGTTACTTGCTTAATATCCTAGAACTGTTGCTTTTGTTATTAGGTGCCATTGAGTTGATTCTGACTCATAGCAACCCTATGTACAACAGAATGAAACACTGCCTGTCTCTGCCCCATCTTCACAATTGTAGCTATGCTTGACCCCATCATTGCACCCACTGTGTCAATCCAGCTCATTGAGGGTCTTCCTCTTTTTTGCTGCCCCTCTACTTCACCAACCATGATGTCCTTCTCCAAGGACTGGCCCCTCCAGATAACATGACCAAAGTATGTGAGTCAAAGTCTCAGTATCCTTGCTTCTGAGTAGCAATCTGGCTGTACTTTTGGCAGTCCATGTATATTAAATGTTCTTCACCAACACCATAGTTTAAAGCCATCAATTCTTCTTTGGTCTTCCTTATTCATTATCCAGCTATCATATGCATGTGAGGTGATTGAAAATAACATGGCTTGGGTTAGGTGCACCTCAGTCCTCAAGTGACATCTTTTTTTTTTTTTTTTTTTTTGTAACCATTTAAAGAGGTCTTTTGCAGCATGCATGCCCAACACAATACATCATTTGTTATCTTTACTGCTGCTTCCATGGATGTTGACTATGGATCCAGGTAAAATAAAATCCTTGACAGTTTCAATCTTTTCTCTATTTATCATGATATTGCTTATTGGCCCAGTTGTGGAGTTGTTTTTTTTTTTCTTTTTCTTTTTATGTTGAGGTGAAACCCATACTGAAGGCTGTAGTCTTTGATCTTCATGAATAAGTGCTTCAAGTTCTCTTCATTTGAACTTGAAGCAAGCAATGTTGTGTCATCTCTACATCACCAGATATTAACAAGTTTTCCTCCAATCTGTGTTCAACTTCTCAGATTAATTGCTCAGTATAGAGATAAAATAAATGTGATAAAAAACACAGAGCCCTGACTCTCACCTTTCCTTATTTTAAACCAGCAGTATTCCCTTGTTCTGTTCAAATGACTACCTCTTGGTCTATGTACAGGTTCCACAAGAGCACCATAAAGAGTTCTGAAATTTTCATTCTTCACAACACTATACATAATTTGTTATGATTCATACAGTAAAATGTCTTTGCGTAGTCAATAAAACACAAGTAAATATCAGTCTGGTATTTTCTGCTTTAAAGCAAGATCCATCTGACATTAGCAATGATATCCCTTGTTACACATCCTCTTCTGGAGGAGGCTTGATTTGACCTTGGATCTGTCGAATCTATAGGCCATATTCTACAAACTACACATTAACTCCCAGGAGAGATACAAGATTGGTTTAAAGTTAAATTTTGGAAAACCTCTGCACGTGTTCAGCCTAATACTCAATGTAGCCAACATTTTTGTTCTTAACATTGCCAGAATATTAAAGTGAGCTGGTTTGCACTTATCCTTATGCCACCTGCTTCCAGAGGCTTATGGAGATAATGTGGAGAAACCTAGAAACTACAGAATTTCCCTATTGAAAGCACAGGGTTTGATCATAAGAAGAAAATGCAAAGAAGTTTATAAATAAATCCTGAAAAGTTGTGCCTTTTCTCAATTGTACATTAAGACACTATAATTTTGTCAAATTTATTTTAATTCTAACAATCACAATTTTTTTACTACAAAATGCAAGTACACAGATATGATGCCTTTTTTTGTTGTTGTTATGAAGGAAGAATTGTTTCAATTCACGAATAGTGCGCTTGGTATGCATCTGACCACCCTATGTGTAAATCATATAGTAAGCCTTCTGTCAACTATGTTTAACCAAATAAAAGTCCTCTTTCATCTTTAAAAAGAAGTATCCATATGTAAAGACTCCAGATTTTCCCAGAAAATGAATTAGCCCTGTTTAAAATCATATCAATCAACACCATCTAAGTTATTCAAGATTGTGATCAGGATATTTATTTACAGATTGGGTCTTCATATTTACTTCCATAACAGTTTTGTTATGATTGACATTCATTAATATTCTTCTAATTAACGCATCAATATTTTAAAATATATAGGATACCTAACTAAGATGTGATTTAAATTACTTCCTTTTCCCATATTCTTTTCCTTTTAGCATGAACACCTTCTCTTCATCTTTAAACACTCAATTTAGGATGAACACTTCCTAGAAAACTTTCCTCCTTCCCATGTCCATCATCTCAGAGATGCACACAGCCTAGGTAGGTGCCTAGCAAATATTAGCTGGATGAATAATGAATTGAGTCATTGCCAACTATAATTCTTCACAAGAAAACTAGCTGTGCATTGTCTACATTTATTATGAATACTAGACCAGAAAATCCATACGGTTATGATTTTCAAGATGGAATAAATTAGTTCATAAATGAAATAATTCTGTAAAAGTGGTCTACAGCATGTGAGTACTTACATCCCTTTCAGGTCACCAATGTAGGGAAAATAAAGTCCTCAGTCCTGTTCCTTCATTCAAGCACTCATTCTGTGTAAGGATACTGTGCTTCATTCAAAAGACATCGGAAATAGACACAGAAAGAGCAAGGATGCTGACAGCTCTCACAGGTACTGTCCATCTACACTGGGGATAGCCACTCTTAGATTTCAGTTACAAATGCACTTGTGTATGCAGTGACTTCTTAGAATGTCAAAGATTAACTTTCCCTCTGTTATGCTGATGACTTTAACAACTGTGTGTGGTTGGACATCTATATATGAGATGAAAGTCTACTAGAATTAGGAGTACAGCATTTGGAGCCATGCAGACCTCTGGCAAAGGCTGGTTCTGCTTATCCCTGAGTCTTCCTGACCACAGTTTATACAGCTCTAAAACTGGCATCATAATGCCTATTTCATAGAATTGTTATGAAGATTTTACAATTTAATATTTGTGAAGAACATAGCATTGTCACCAGCAAACAATAACTTTTCAATATGTAAAAGCAACCTTTACTATAATGTTTGCTCATTATTATGTTACTATTATACTGATACTGCTATTAGGCCACTTTCTTCCATTGAAGTGGAATTACAGCAGACACAATATTTTCAGTGTCAGGAAGACATTTAACAGAAGACCTTCTTATCTGGGATACACCTTACCCTTGATTGCAAAATCATAACAATTCTTTCAGGGTTGAACTTGGGCTCTACTTCAAAGCCCATGACTCAGAATAAAAGTCCTTTGGGAGCTCTGGTAGCATAGTGGCTAAGACACTTGCCTGCTAACCAGATGGCTGGCGGTTCAAACCCACCAGCCACTCCTCGGAAGGAAGGTT